GTGGAGACTCAGAAATCTCTCATATTTCATTTAAATAACTTAATTTGCGTTTTTAAAGATGAACGAAAGTCTTACTGGTTTGGAAAGATGTGAGGGTAATTGATTACTTTTTATTTAGATTTTGAGTGTACTGACCCTTTAATGCACAACAGTTTTGTCAAAGTATAGATGCATAAATCCCTAGAAGAAATTTAGAAGCTATTTTTTCTTAGTTAGCAGTAAACTTTTGATGTGGTCAGGGCCACGGGACAGATGAAAGACAACACTTATACTGTCTTCTCTCAGACGACAGCAAATACACTTAAAATGACGCATTCACTGGCGCTGGAGTCTGTCACATGCTCTCAGCCGGAATACAATCACTTCCACCTGTTCCTTAGAGACTGTTCTGCTTCATTCACACTAGCAAGGTTACCAATATTACAGCACAATTATTCATGCCTTGGGTTCTGAAGTGCTGTCTTAGTGGCTATATTACATTTATTTGATATGACATTAACTGCACTTAATGAACACGGCCAAAATCACGTAAAAACTAAATGGGTAGAAATTTAGCAAGGGAAAAGTAATATTGAATTCCTTGGATGTTTGGCCAGGCAGCTGAGATAATTTCCTCGTCTTTGTGAGGAACATCTGAGGTTCAAATGTTAGAATTTAAACAGAGCACAGAATTAATTGACTGAGAAGCACTTGGGGGTTGAGACAGAAAAGAGCGTTGATGACCCAGTGGCTTTGGTCCGAGTGTTATCACTGCAGCCATTTTTTTCCAGCTTTCTTCCTGAGGATTAATTTCAGTCATTTTCTCACTTGGATTTAGATTGTATTTAATGTAGCATTTGCAGATACAGAATCGTGAGAATCCTTGGATGAGGGTGAAGACGAAGGCTGAACCTAGAATAAATTCCCATGCAAAAATCCAGCTTAAAGCAAAATCAATCACGCTTTCTAGCAGCATAGCTTTCCCAGCCAAAAGCCATTACTGGCATATCTAGCGGTGCTGGAATCTATTGAAATGCACTGATCCTTAACTAAGGAACTCATCCAGGGATGTATTTTTACCACGTGGACTGTACTTTGTTCTTAAAGTTCAATTTAAACATGCTAACTTGTTGAAATTCTAACTTTCAGTTCCAGAGACCGCAAGACCAATATCCTCCATTCCGGTTTGGGACCGTGCCCAATGGCAGCACAGAACGAAACATAAGGAGCAATTATCCCGAAATGCATTCTCACATGGTTAAGTACAACCAAAAAGGTGTGGAGGATGCTCTCAACAGTCTCAAAACTGGGTGTGTTTCCTGTAGTTTGTCACCTGAATCTCTGAAACAAATCTGCCCCCTGCGTATTATCTTCTCCACTAACGTGCATCATTTCTTTACTGCTAACAGGAAGCTGGATGCCTTCATATATGATGCAGCTGTGCTTAACTACATGGCCGGTAAAGACGAAGGGTGTAAATTGGTGACCATCGGTAGCGGGAAGGTATTTGCCACGACAGGCTACGGCATCGCCCTTCAGAAAGAATCTCGCTGGAAGCGCCCCATAGACCTCGCTCTTCTTCAGTTCCTTGCAGACGGTAACCTCAGAAACTTACATTATCTAGAGGAGCTCTGCTTCAAAAGTCTGACTGAAATGTATTATGTATTATCACAGGTGAGACTCAGAAGCTGCAGACAGTGTGGCTCACTGGAATCTGTCGTAACGAGAAGAAAGAGGTGATGAGCTCTAAGCTGGACATTGACAACATGGCCGGAGTGTTTTACATGCTTCTAGTGGCTATGGGTCTCAGTCTGCTTGTCTTTGCATGGGAACATCTACTGTACTGGAAGCTACGGCATTCTGTCCACAAGTCTGAGCGTTTGGACTTCTTGCTGGCTATTAGCAGGGTAAATTCTTTGTGATCAATTCTTACGAATCCAGTCTACTATATGGTGTATAATGCAAAGTATATAAATCAAAATGAAAAACATGTTATTGTTCTATTTTTTACCAAAGCAATTTGCAAGAACATGCATGTAGCAAAATATATCAACAAGAAAGAACATAGTTAAAATGAGAATTGTACAAAGAAAGGTTAAACGTACCTTAAAAGAGACTTTAGAAACACAAATGTGCTGAAATGGATTTTCAGGGGAACTCCAGGCTGTGAATGAGCACCAAAAGTCAAGGAAAAAGCTGTTAAAATTAAATGAGGGTCTTGGGGTTATGGCATAGCTTCCAAAGCCCCTTTAAAGCACATTCATAAGCTTAACAAACTTGAAGACCTCATTTAAAGGTGGAATATTACAAATTCATAGGCAGCTACAATACTTTTCTATTGACTAATTACAGCCACTTTCAGAGATAATTATAATACTGATAAACAGAGAATCTTTTCAGCCACTAACAGTTCTTTGGGTAATTAACCACATGTAAAATCAGCTAATTGAATTTTGATGTGGTAAAAGTGAGTAATTTATGACTTTTATTTATTTAGGTAATTGCAGAAAAAATATAGAAACTTGATTTTGTCAGACCTTTGCCATTCATTAGGACTGTACTTTATTTTCTAATTATTTTAAGACAATACACAATGGATAGCTTTTAAGGAGATAGATTTTATTAGGATATTATGAGGTGAAAACAGAAATAATTCTGTTTGCCATTGGCACAAAGAACTGTTTAGGTGAATGCACTCCAAAATGCCAGGCTCAATTTTCCTTATTTCTTTCCTGAAGGGAATCTACAGCTGCTTTAACGGTGTGGAAGACACGGACCGTAAAGGGAACATGCAGAACCCGGATGTCACCACCAGTTACACTCAGGCCAACATGCTCAAGATGCTCCAAACCGCTAAGGACATTGTCTCATCTGCAAGAGTTGAAAACTCCTTGGACAATGCCACAAAGACCATAGAGAACTGGAGTCGACGTGATCCAGAGTCAGCCAGACCTAGTCTTCCTACCTGCCTCATAGGAACGGACTTCAGCCATAGTCGCCTGCCCTGCATCGCCAGCGTTACTGACAACCACTCACCATACCCTCAAAACATGGACAGCACCACTCAGCACTTACTGGAGAAGCCTCATGTGGGAACACGGCCTACCTCACTGCGCTACACTCTTCCCGCACGCACCAGCCACCACCACATCTATGAACGAACGCTACCCATATCTAGCCTCAGTAGTCCTCATATTGCCATGAGAGACCCACCACCTCCTACAGCCCCAAAACCCCACGTGTACGTGGACCAGTCCTGTCACCACCCTACCTCTCGCTACGTCTCTTACCGTGACTTTCAGGTACCGGACATCTTTGTGGAACACCAGGAACCTTCGGGAAGCCATAAACAATACATGGCAGGTCTGGGTCGCAAAAAAAGGTCTCATAGCTACGTAGCAGCATCTCCAGAAACTCGAAGGAGGGACGACTATGATGTTCCCCAGTCCTGTCTGGCTGAGCTTAAAAGCAACCACCTTGTGGAAAACCATTCCCATACGACACCCTGCATAAGAAGTCACTTCCAGAGACCTGGCTCTAGCTGCAACTCCTGCTCCAAGTTGTATCTAGAACCGGAGATGGATGACGTTCCTCTTCTGGGGAAAGATAAAATGAACCGTCGCGCCTCTTTTCTCAGGGCTACATGGGGTGGTGACAGGATCCGGCAGCTGGATGAGAAGCCCTCCACCTCTGCATCTTCTACCAGTTGCATCAACATGCCTGATCTGTTCCCTCGAGTGGTGGTGACCAATCCCAAGCCTTCGAAGATGTATGGCAGCGCTGGTAACAACCTTCGCTACAACATGGCTGTGGAGCCAGCCTATCTGGACCCAGCCCACATGGGCTCTTACCCGTATAAGACGCAGAAGCTCAAGTACTCAAAGTCCATCCGCCTTCCTTCATACCGGGAGGCGATTCTACAGAATACGGCATCCCTGCGGCGCTCCTCTTCCACACTAGTGCACGGACACTACTCAACGTACCTGAACTCTTACACAGACCTGCCGGTGTACTTGAGTCCTCTACCGCAGGGACCCGGTCACTTCCATGAGCATTCCAAAGACACGTGCCACCTGTTTCCATGTGTCAACCATTGCCCGGATAATGCCACCTTGGTGCCCCGGTTAGGCAGCAGACCTGTATTGTACCAGAACACTGCTATTGGAAGTTATGAGGGGGCTGGGCGCTCAAACGAGGAGTCGTTGCACACTGTGCCGTTCTCTTCCGTGCGCAGGGACCGCAGGCAGGTTCTAGTGGCACGGAACGTACACAGTCCCTATGCCCCACGGCCCTGGGGTAGGGTATCTAGTCTGGAGTCAGAGGTTTGAAGACCTTTTCAGAGATCTCCAGAGACTGTTTCCCCCAAACTGTGAGGGTAAAATACTGGGGACTGCTAAACGAAGTCAAGCAAAAAAGCTTAAGGTGGTAATCTCAGTGCAATAATACCCTAAGACAGCAGGGATGGGACGGGGTAATGTACAAGTGATTACTGTGGAGACTTCTTTCAATATACTTTAAAAAAATAAGAGTAAAACTAATAACGAACTGTTCTTAATCTATAATCTATTGATTGTAATTTAAACTGTTTTTAAATGCCATTACACCAATTACACTCATTCTCTGCAAACAATTGGATGTAGCATGTTTTAAGGCAGCTTAAAAACCAAAAGGGTTTGAATTGAAATCTGGTTTTTATTTGTGCCAGGGCATTCAGCCATTTTGAATCTGGAGAACCACTGGAGAATTTTATAACATAGCCACACAAAAATGTCTTCCAAGAATTTTCTAAACCCAGGGGTTTGAGAAAGCCATTCATTGTCAAATTTTGTCACTCCACTGATGTAATTAAGATCTGATTTTAAGAATGGTGAAGAATTGATTTACCTTCTGTAGTTCCACAGCTATTTCACTGTGTAATAAACGATGGGATGGCCTGAGGGCCAATTGAAAAGGACTACTGTCTTTGTGTCTTCTGCAAAGGAAAAACCAAAGTAGAGTAGAAACGACTGCATGTCCAAGTCAGACATCTTCTTGCAGAGACAACCTCCCAAAAGGCCTTGTGTTACCAACGTACGGTGCTGTCCTATTAACTTTGAAGTAATGTGGATTTATTTAGGAAATTTGAAAATGATTTCTAGTTAAACCAAGAAAGATGAATGCCCCCATCGCTGAGGTGTGTGGCATGCTTTTACAGATCCTCACAAATAATTAACCTTTTGAAATAACTACAGTAGCTTCGAAATGTACAACTTTATGAAATCTCATGCATTTCGTACTTTAATTAACTGCTAATCCAGTAGCTGGTGAACAATATTATAGACACTTTCACTTAATTGCCTTGCTCACCTAAAGTTCTTGGGAATATAGAGTCTAGAAAACCAGTCTCTACAAAATGTTGCATGCATATAGCCACATAAATGTATGCCAAGATTATATATGACCTAGGAAGAAGAATGTTTCATGAATACAATTTCACTCTTGATTCGCTCTACATAGTGGCAAATGCATTTCTATTCATACTTGCCAAATGGAAAAACCATTACATCTACAGATTCTGCTGTAAATCAGTGCAGGGAATGCATGGACTGCATTAAAAAGGCATACACGAACACAGTATGATATTAAACAGTGTTTTTTTATTTGCTGACCTCGTGTTTTAAAGCAGCCTGTGGTGAAGTCGATGCATGGCGAGTAGGTCAAATGCTGACTCAGCGTGGCAGTTGCATGCTCTCCGAGAACAGTTTAATCCATCTCACCTTCCTATGTCTTTAAGATGTGACGTGGGTTGCTAACATTCATCTTTCCTGTTGAGCACCGTTGTGGTCTTAGCCCTTCCTGAGGGCCCCAGGAGGACTGGAAGTGCAAAGGTCAGTATAATAACGTTTGGACGAATGGGCTGATTGACCCTGGGGAATAGTATGCTTAATCACGCCAACTTAGGATGATGCACATCTGGGCAGTGAGCCAATCAGCAGGGACACAATATCGACCTATAGCATCCACCCACCTTCATTTAGTACCCTTGAGATGGAACAAGATGGGTAAAAGTGACCACGAGGATCAAGCTCTTGAATGAAGAATGAAACCTTGAACTCTCCTTTCAGCTGTACCAGGGGTGTGGTGGGTTGGTGGAGAGAGAGGAAGCACGTGTAACAGTGTCATTCAAAGCTGCTGACAGAAGAAGCTTTTCATAAAGGGAGATTTGGTCTGTGTATGTGTGTGCGATTCATTTTCCCTGTCCTTGTTATCAGAACAACTTTATCCGGCAACTTCCCAATCACAAGATTTATTGTCTCATCTCAAAAAGAGAATGCAGTTAGCATGGAGAAACAATCTGAGGCTTATCCTCTCATCTCTGCACTCTGATCTATGATGGTGTTTGTGTGAGCTACAACATGAATAATCGGAAATTGGCAGATACAAGTTAGATGACTTTGAGGCTCATGAATGTACATGAGTGTGAGAGAAATGTACGATGATAACTAGGATGTGATGGATGGATCTATTTCATCAGGTCCTGTGCAGCGCCTCAGATGGGCCGGGTTTCAGGGGGAAATGGGTATGGCTGAAGAGCAGAAGGTTAAGGTTTCTACGATAACTTTATCGTAGAAAGACAAGGAAACAAGGAAAGACCGTCAGATCAAATGTAGGACGGTTTCTATGCAACATTTTGTGCAGATAGTAAAGACCTCATCAACAATATGGTTGGCGTCCACCCAGGTTCTAACAGACCCTGGCTGCAAACTGTAAGCACTGCCCTTTTCCGTGTGCATTGGCATGAGCCTCGATTTTGTGGGCAGATGCCATGACATCTTGGGGAGCTCATCAGTGTGCACTATAAGTTAGGTGGCACATGGGCAGTAAAGCCAGTGTGAGCTGGGCAGCGGCAGATTGCGGACCATGATGGCATCTGATCTTCATCATCCATTATTTTTTGGGCGTGCAGATGGATCTGGCTCCCATCGGGAGGTCCCTCTCTGCTGGTCACACAAATGGCCTCTCATGGGTGGTTAGATGAGCTGCTCAGATAATGGATCAAATAACAGCATAACAAGATTCATAATCTTTCAGAAGAAAATCTGAATGATGCTATGCCTATGTTCTGTCACAATGCTGGTTCTGGGCAATGTTAAATTTTACACAGTTTTCGTTTTTATTCAGTCAATACATTTTTAGAGTGCAAAATATTTAAACACTTTATATATTCATTTAAACATGTAAAAATGTCAATTGTTATGAAATTCATGTTTTAATTATTCATTGTCCATGTTTTGCGCGTTGTAACGACAAGAGCTTATAGCCTGGTACGTTTGCGTTATTTTTCGCAGATGCTGAAGGCAAATTTTTATGTTCTTTACTGATTAATCTCGAATGTAGGTGAATCGTGCAATTTTGTTAACCCACTAGAAATTCTGAATTTACGTTGTCTTCACTGTTTAGCTTAGCTCACGCAGGACAGTTCTCAAAAATAATTGACTATCATCATCGTATTTTTTAGTTAACAAAAAAAAAAAAAAAAAAAACTTTGTTGGCGAATATTTTTGACGAATAATTTCACACTGCCTCTGTCATTCTGCTATTCTGGAGTCTGGACTCTGGGAGAGGATCCAAAAAATAATCACAAGTGACTCCTACCTTGGCCCTTGAATTCTCTGATTCTGAGCATTGAGAATAGTGAGTTGATTTCAAAGGTGGGATTTGAATCCAGGCGATTGTTTATTTCCTCGATTTCGTAACTACACTACGGAAGCGTATTGCATTCACTTGAAGAAAAAAAATCTACTCTGTTTTTCTGAATTAACAAGTTAATTTTCTCAGAATTACGAGATTATTTTTCATGGGAGAAAAGTTTTTGCTCTGTTTTTTTCTGAATTAACGAGGTAATTATCTCAGAATAATGAGATACTTTTTTTTTTCACTCTGTTTTTATGAATTAATGAGTTACTAAGAATTTTGAGATAATTAACTCGTTAATTCAGAAAAACAGAGTATATTTTTCCTCAAGTGTATGCAATACGCTTCTGTACTACACATCCTACGAGCTAGCAAGGGAATTTGTTTCATTGACTCAAATCTTTTGATTCAGTTCACCAAAACAACTTGTTCAAATTCGTACATTGATTCATTGACTCTTTTAAAAGGTTACATTATTATGCCAGTAGGTGGCGAGTATTATTTTGAGTATCACTTTCAGTCTGACAAATTCATTCTTAATCTCAGAAACAAAACACAAAACATCATTAATTTAAAATACTAAAATGAAATAATAAGATTTTAAAGGACAACAGCAAACAATATATTAACATTCATACTATCAATCATAATAGTGTAAGATACTTTAAATTGCACTGTTTGTTATAAGATTAATTCACTGGAATTCACTTAATTCACAATTTTTTTTCAATGAAGGCATTATCAGTGTTCCAGTTACTATACCAGAGTGAGTCATAACATCCATTGATTAGATTTATATTTCTTTGGGGACAGTGCTTCTCTGTCTGGCCAAACTGGCATCTCTGCGCTCCAATGAAGTGCCACGCTGTCACTTACCAACAGTTCCACCAATTAACCCATGCAGCATTTGAAGCACTCATTCTGATGTATTGAATTTGAGAGGCGCCCTAGTGATCTTCTGTCATCTCATCACATGTTAATTTCATGATACCGGTACTTCTATATGCCAATAGCTACACGCGCACACACAATAATTGATATTCTTCATACAGAGAGCTGCTATGAAGCAGCATTCCCTGCACATCCTCACCCTGAATAAATTACCTCACACTCCATAAATTTTCCCAGATGTTAAGAGTCACCTTGAGAATAGCTCTCCGAATCCTATCAGTAGAGGAGTAAAAGAGAGAGAGAGAAATGGCTTGAGGCTTGACAGATAAAGAGGACAAGTCCAGCAGACAACACAAAGTAAGAAAACAAAGATTAGAACTGTATGTTAATGAGAAAGCTTACACATTTAATCACAATAAGGCTGCCACAATGCATTCAACTTATTTATATATATATATATATATTTTAAACCTGCATAAAATAGGCAGAATAGGCAGATTCTCACCCATCTAAAAAAAATCCAAATCTCAAACTTGATAAAAAAATAAAAAAATAAAAAGTTCCACCTCAGCAGATATTGTCCTAAATGCAAAACATATTCTTTTGAATTCTGCAGCTAGAGCGCAAACTGTCAGTTCAGTCCTTTCGTCTTCCACAATAATGTAATCTCTTTCATTTATATAAATTTTGGGGCTTTTCTCAACAAATATTGATTAATTTACTTTAACAATTAAGTTGATTACATTATTAATGATGCCCTAAATCACGATAGTGGAGACAGTGAGCTGCCTGCAAAGGAGTGTTTGTAATATATCCAAATATGTCCTCTTTGTGTTTCATGCAAATAGTGCATGAACATTTCTTGGAAACACACTGGCACTAATTTATACCATGTCTTCCGGGTTTGAACTTTTGTCTTATCAGCCCAGACCTTTAGCCAATGCATCACCACTACACCTCTATGTGGGTAGCGCAATATGGACTACAGAGGGTCATTTTATAGGCCACAGTCAGAGTAGACAGTCAGAGTAGACATATTATTTAAAGGAACAGTTCACTCAAAGAAAATTTGAATTATGTCATCATTCATTTTCATGTCGTTTCAACCATGTATGACTTTCTTTCTTCTGTGGAACACAAAAGAAGATGGTTAGCTGGATGTTGACACTGTTCAAAACATAAATGTAGTTCAAAATAAAGGCTCCAAAGTTTTGCCTTAGAATAACTGGGTTCCCCAAAGAACCTTTCAGTGAAGAGTTTTCCTTTTCCACTATAACTAACCTTTTGTACAATGGGAAGGTTCCATGGATTTTAAAGGTTCTTCATGGAACCATTGATGCCAATATAGAACCTTTATTCTAGAGACTGGGGCTGTTAAAAAAAGTACAAGAAGCGCCATAAACGCACCATAAAAGTATGCCTCATGTACTGTATTTCATACGATAACTTTGTGAGGAACGAACTGAAATCTAAGTAATTTGTGCATGCAGATATTCAAATGTGGTGCATCAATGGTGAACTAATTTGACGTGAAAAAAACAGTTGAAATGTTTCGAGGTCCTAGATATAATAAAACATTTTAAAACTCATGTTAAATGGTTTCAATGATGACAATGAGATACAAAACAGTATGACGGACAAAACAGACTGTAGTTTTGTCCCTCACATCCTCATTTTCATCCATGACAAACATGGCTTCTACTCTGACTAATGTCTATATGGAGCTTCTTCTGAAGATTCCCGCTGATGTCAGCATTGATTGATTTCCATTTGCAAAGCATAAGCATGAAATCTAATTACTGCTCATTGTTATCATCTCTGAAGTCCACGCTCTCTGAGTTGAAAGCATCGTAGGGTGGGTTTCAGGAAACCATTAGCTGAGTGTTACAGGAAGCCCTAATGTCCTTATGTGGCACTGATGCCTAACACTGAGGCCACCAACTGTTTCAGGTCATGTGATGGAGCATAACGCCAGGCGGACGTCCAGCTGCTTCGGGCCATTGGGTTTAATCTCTTGATCATGGCAGACCGTGGATACATACATACATGTGGGTAGACATGTGTATCTACAGATGGACTGGGGTGGGCTGAGGAGAAGAACAACACAAATCCTCCTCCCCTCAGCTTTCTGTCCCCCTTTTCCCCAAATGGACACACACGCCCCTAGTGTGATCATTACCAAGATCTCAGATTAAGAAAGTGTTTCAAGGTCGCCACTGAGAACAATGTCATCTTCAGGTTCCTGATTAATTTTTCATTCCATGTCATGACATTTATTAGTTACCTTTGTTTAGTAAAATTGAGTTTTTCATTAGGGTTCTTCCTGTTATGCAGTACTTTGTAAAAAAAAAAAAAAAATGTGTTAAAGGAAAATTATATCACTTCTTGGAGGATGTCATTAAAGTGTCCCAATTATGCTATTTTAAAGGTTCCTAATTATTTATTTTTTTGGTCTAGGTTTAACATGCGTCCAAGGTAAAAATAAAAACATAAATTTTCTCATAATATACATTGCAGTCAGAAAACGGTTTGTTCGTTCCTCCTTTCAGCGAGCCTACTCTGCTCTGATTGGTCCGATGGCTCAGTCTGTTGTGATTGGTCTACTCAGCTCTGATTGGTCTGATGGCTCAGTCTGTTGTGATTGGTCTACTTTGCTCTGATTGGTCAGATCTGTTGCCCAGTCTGTTGTGATTAGTAGTTTCATGAGTTCACATCTACGTATAATTATTATGGTTAAGGTTATGCGTACTTGGCGTGCTGTCCGGGTGGAGGGCTCCGAGCTCGGAATTTCTGCCCGAACCCAGAGTACTCCCCCCGTTGGTAAGAGTAGATGGAACTAAAGTGAGGAGATGGAACTAGAAGTGAGGAGATGGAACTAAAGTGAGGAGATGGAACTAGAAGTGAGGAGATGGAACTAGAAGTGAGGAGATGGAACTAAAGTGAGGAGATGGAACTAAAGTGAGGAGATGGAACTAGAAGTGAGGAGATGGAACTATGGAACTAAAGTGAGGAGATGGAACT